TAGTTTCATGGTCCCTTAATATAACGGGACCCCTGATGTACCCCGCATGTGCCCTGTACAACCAAAGGGCGGGACCATGTAAAGGGCCAATGTAGCTAACCTTAGACTAGGGTTTAGGGTTTGAGCCCATGCAGTATATACTCGGGGCTTGAAGGGCTTCCCAGAATGTAGCTTCAGGGACCAAGTATATACATAGGTACAGGGAACCATAGGAGCTTAGGTTTAGGGTTTAGGGTTTAGGGTTTAGGGTTTAGGGTTTAGGGTTTAGGGTTTAGGGTTTCATTGCTGCAGACTGCCAGAAACAACCTGAGGCCCCCCGCACGAACCGTGATTCATGCTGCGCCGCCCGCATTCTAGGATCGTGTCTGATCAAGGATGTCTTAGGTCTGTCTAAGTTGTGGTCCCTTCTTGAGGTCCCTGCTGTGATGCTGCATGTCTAGGACGCAGAAGGGGCCCTAAACCCTAAACCCTAAACCCTAAACCCTAAACCCTAAACCCTAAACTCTAAACCCTAAACCCTAAACCCTAAACTTCCAAACCCTAACCCTAAACACTAAACCCTAACCCCTACATTGTTGGGCTAAGGGTTTAGACGGGCTAGGGATGGTATAGAAGGAGAAGGAACAAGCCTGCATTTCCAGGTGCTAAACCCTAAGCCCTGTCTACCTACAGCCCTACAGGGCTGAAACAGCACGTCTGAGAGCCGAGGGCACAAGGAAGGCAAAGAGAATGGGTGAAGCTGCACCACCCCCCCCCCCCCCCCCCCCCCTAGTTTCAAGGAACGCTTACGTATGTAGGGTTTAGGGTTTGGGGTTTGAGGTTTGTTTTTAGGGTGGAGGGCTTAGGGTTTAAAGGGCTTCGGGTCGAGCGCTGAGGGTGCTTCCAATGAAGGCTTTCGTACTTAGGGTTTGTGGGTTAGGTTTAGGGATCTCCCCGAGCACACTACTAGATCCGCTGTCTGGGGCGAGCCACCCTGAACCCTAAGTCAGGGTGATGTGAGTGATCAGGCTTCTTCGAGCTGTTCACGTGCCACAGCGTTTTTGGACCCTGGACACTTAGTCCAAAACAGGCACGTCTAGGGTTTAGGGTTTAGGGTTTAGGGTTTAGGGTTTAGGGTTTACAAGGGGTTTGGGGTTTAGGGTGTGGGATGAGGTCCGCCGACCCTGGCGGCGTGTTGGATAGGTTTCTGGAGGTGAAAACCTCCCTTTTTCCCTCTTTGCCCCCCTAAAACGGGGGGGAGGGGGGGGGGGTAGGGGGGGTTTTCCGTGGAGGGCCAGGCCACCCACACCGCGTGTACTCATGGACCATAGGCGGTTTCGCACAGGGCACAGGGTTTTTGGGAATTTTTCCCACCACCCCCTTACCCCCTTTCCCCCCCTCCCCCCCCCCCCCCCCCCCCCCCCCCCCCCCCCCTCCTTCCTCTAGCCCCCTCAAATCCAGTAAAAACTTAACCTGCACCTGTGGTCGTTGGGCTGTCCTCGGTTTAGGCTTTCGGGGTTTAGGGTTCCGGTTTCAGTTTAGGCTTTACTTTGGGGTTTAGGGTTCGGCTGTAGGGCTGAGGCTTTAGGGTTTAGGCTGTAGGGTTTAGGGTTTCGGCTGTAGGGTTTAGGGTCGGGTTTGGGTTTAGGGTTTGGCGCCGGGGCACGCTGCGCCGCTTGAGCCCTGAACAATGCTCCGGCGGGGTCGGCGGCTTGAGCCGGAGGCTCTTAAATCCGGGCACGCCCGTGGTCGTTAGGCGCCAGCCCTAGCTTTAGCTACCCGGGGGTGGGGCATATGCCGCTGACCCGGTTGGCTCCCCAACATCCGGCTCCAAATGCGGCTTCCGAAGGGCATCACGTTTCAGGTACATTTTTTATCGCGAAAAACGCGCTATTTCTCACCGAATTTGGCCTCCTGGACGCATGTTTTGGGCGCCCCATGGGGGGTCCCAAAAACGACCCTGGAGAGCATCATCGACGGCTGCCGGATCAAAAAAAAAATAAAAAAGGATCAAAAAAAAAATAACGCAGCCCAGGATCAAAAAATAAATAAAAAAGGATCAAAAAGAAAATAAACTTCGACTTCGAGTACGAAAACTCGAGTTTTGGTACGTTTTCGGAACCCGATCGAGGACCCTCTCACACGAAACGCGTGTCGACGTGCTAAAACTCGAGTTTTGGAAAGGTTTTCCGGGCACGATTGACGACCCGCCCTCTCACACGAAACGCATCTCGAGGCGCGAAAACTCGAGTTTTTGCACGTGTTCGAAGCACGATCGACAACCCTCTCACACAAAACGCATCTCGAGGCGCTTAAACTCGAGTTTTGGTACGTTGTTCCCGACGCGATCGACCAATATATTCTGCATATCTATACTTATTTTATTGATATTTATGTTTCTATTAATATCAATATTATTATGATTCATATTAATTTAACATAACATATCATGTACAATATAAAATATTATCATGGAATATATAATAAAATATTGAAAAAACAAACGGCAATATAATATACT